TGAAAATGGCAACGATGAGGGAAGAAAAAGAAAAAAATAGACAGAGAAGAACGTGACAGAGAGATGACACATGAAAACTCTGCTCAGTAACATTGAAGACCAAATAAGAATAAAGCAGTTTAGACTTGAAAAGGCAAAGACAGTGAAAGACTACAAGTCTTGTGATGAGCTTTCAGTAGCCATAAGAGGTCTGTTGCGTGAGAAATTTGACTGTGAAAAACAGTTATCTGCTTTTCAAAAGAAAGAAGCCAAATCAAATTGGTATAAGAAAAGATCATTGACCAAAGGGAGTGACACTGCTGCTTCGGGAAAAGTGATGCAAGATGCCAAAAAAAGCCGAGATTTGATGACAAAGTTCTTGGAAAAGAAAGAGTCACAAGACACTGTTGATATTGTTGACAAAAACTGCATGGAACGCAATGAGTGCACTTTGTCTTCAAAGCCTGCTATTTCAGCCTCAGCTTCTGTCATTAAGGCTGACAGTGATAAAATACAAGCTGTAGCCCCAGTCCTTGCAAAGATTTCACAACCAGAAGATGTTGGCAATGAGTCATGCTCTGGTGGTGACACTGAGATATTGCCTTCTAGTCCTTCGTCAAGCCCAAATCAGTCTTTTTGAATAGCCCCTCTTCTTAGGGAAGAGGGGATCATGAGATAGTAAAGAAATACAAGGAACAGCAAAAACGTTGTCTATCAAATTATGACGCGTTTACAGGAAGCATTTATGTCTCGAAATGTGAGGGACTGACACTGTCTGAATATATGCGTGCAAGGACCATTTTGTGCTCAAGTAGTCATCGCAAAGCATGTGACTGTGATGGAATGTTGAGAGTAGGTAAAGATATTGAGAGTAAAGGCATTTTAAAGCTAGGTGAGGCATTCAGGTTGTGTTGTCTAAGTGGTAAATACTCGTCTTTCCAGGCTCGAAGAAAGTTGTTACAGATGCCTCTTGCAGTTGTGGGGGCTGGTAAAGCGCAATTCTGTGCGACAAATAAAGAAGCGACTTGCTGAGAAGTGTCTTTTGAAAAGGAGAAGGAGTAAAAGAGTTGGTACAATTTTGTCTGAATGTCCAGGTATAGGAGCAGAAATCGAAGACTTTGACAAGCAGTGTGGTGCGGGAGCTGACGCCTGGAGACGTACTGGGACACTTACGTTTGATGGCAATCGCAAGGTCCAGAAAAAGGCCACATTCAGACGTATCCAACAACACTTGCAGGACAAGTATCATCGAAGCATCTCCTACGGCACTGTCGTGCAACTGTGCTGTGCGCGGAATAAAAGGCGAAGATCTGCGGCTAGGTATCATGGATTAGCAAACGTTGTTAGCAAGCGGGCAAGAAAAGGTTTTACCATTCGTTACAATCCTGACACACACTGGAGCACTGCCCTGTATGCTGCCCTTGATAAAATTCAGTACAGAAGTGGTGAGAATATTATGAATGTAGGAAGGGATGATCAAGCTGGATTTCGTTTGGACACAATGGCTACCCACAAACTTCACGCTACACTTTGTGTTAAGGGCAGTGAGCATCACAGGAAACTTTTTAAGATTCCCAGTTGGGAATTAAATGGGAAATTTTCCCATTATTGGGAAAAACCTGGGACAAGAAATTCCTTTTTTGGGATAATGTTGGGAAGTAGATGTCTCCCAGCATCCTAAAAACCGGTTTTTATTGGGAAATACACTGTGCTTTCTCTTGTATCCCAATTTTGGGAAAATACTGTGAATATTTACCCATGTTATTCCCAAACTTGGGAAAAAAAGGGAACATTTCCCCAAGTTATTCCCAGACTTGAGAATAAAATGGCAACATTTTCCCAACCTATTCCCAGACTTGAGAATAAATTGGAAACATTTCCCAAGTTATTTCCAGACTTGAGAATAAAGTGGGAACATTTCCCAAACCTATTCCCAGACTTGAGAATTAATTGGAGACATTTCCCCCAGCTATTCCCAGCTTTGAGAATAAATTGGGAACAGTTCCCCAAGTTTTTCCCAGATGTGAGAACACAAAAGGAAATTTTCTCATGTAATTGCCAGTCTTGAGGATAAAATGGGAAAATGTCCCCAAGTTATTCCCAGACTTGAGAATAAATTGGGAAGAATTCCCAAATTTATTACCAGATTAAGCGCAACATAGTAATATTTTCCCAAATTAT